TCAATACTCTATAATGGCCTATATGGGAAAAGAATCTAAAAAAGAGTGGATGTATGTATGTGTATAACTGATTCGCTTTGCTGTACACCTGAAACTAACATGACATTGTAAATCAACTATACTCCAATAAAAAGTAAAAATAAAATCAAGTTGTAATAGCATTGTCTATTGAAAAGATTTTCCTTTTCCCATTGGGTTGCTTTGATATTTTTGTAAAATATCAAACTACTTCACATTTAAATTTATTGTACTATTTAGAAAATGTTTTTACTCTCATATTCTCTTAACACTCTCTCACTGGGGGTGGATATATTTTCCTCATTTTGAGTTGAGAAAACCAAGGCTCAGGGCAGTTCAAGAACTTGACCAAGGGGACACAAAGAGAAGGACGTGCACATAGAACTATTACTGAATCATAAAGAAATTGTTTACATTTTAAACCTACTTTACCCAGTGGAAATATTATTAAGTGGACACTTTTTCTGAAGGTAATGGAGTAACAGAAATAAGTTCATGTTTTTATATTTCAGCACTGGTGGTATTATCAGACTGCCAGCCAAACATATACTTTCTTTGTAGGCTTGTGTATGTCTAAGATAATCTATATTATGCATCTCTTTCTGAAAGGGTAAAGAATTACAATACTTGCTTTGAAAAATGGGTAAGAATAATAGCTTTTAGCCAAGGTTGCTTGGACTTTATTTAAGATAAAGAATGTATTTCTCTCACCCTGATCTAAAAAGAAAGTTACTCTTCTCTGATTCGAGGAAATAAAGCAGTACGTAAAGGTACATATCATGAAGATAGATATAAAAACTAGAAAGAAACTCAATAGCCACTCTTGCTCTTTTTTCTTTCTCTCCTACTCTGCTACACTAATACTTGGGCATCCAGCCTGTCTCCAAATGTTTGGTACCACCTTGTTTTCCACCTCATGGAAGCAGTTTTCAAGCAAAATTGATCACTCGCTGAGACTAGGCCAACCTCAATGTTCTAACTCTCCAGATCACCTAGGCTCACCCTTGAAGTACCAGTCTCCTGTGCCCACCTGATTTACCCAACTGTAACACACAAATGAATGGCCTCAGTCTTTGTGGCTCACTCCTCTGGTACGAACCCTCTTTTCCCACATTCAGAGAGGCAACCTTGTTAAAACCACTAGTACATATTTTAGGGATGTCGCAACCAAAGCATCTACATTTTGTGAATTACATAGAATAAGACGGTTACACAACTATTTGAAGGGAACCTGAGGTCAGAATCCATGTCTTTTTTTTTTTTTTAATATAAATTTATTTATTTATTTTTGGCTGCATTGCATTGGGTCTTCTTTGCTGTGCGTGGGCTTTCTCTAACTGTGGTGAGTGGGGGCTACTCTACCTTGTGGTGTGAGGGCTCCTCATTGCAGTGGCTTCTCTTGCTGAGGAACACGGGCTCTAGGCGCACAGGCTTCAGTAGTTGTGGCTTGTGGGATCTAGAGTGTAGGCTCAGTACTTGTGGCACATGGGCTTAGTTGCTCCACAGCATGTGGGATCTTCCCGGACCAGGGCTCAAACCTGTGTCCCCTGCATTGGCAGGCGGATTCTTAACCACTGCACCACCAGGGAAGCCCAGAATCCATGTCTTCTTGACAACTTCATTATTCTTCCCCCGTCCTATATGTCTTCCCTCAACTATCTGTTAAACCAGGATGAGATAAAGTGGAACTAGGTTAACTACTCTTCATTCCAAGATGGAAAAACTTAGGTCAGAGAGGAGATTGCCTAACAACCAATTAAAGGCAGTTTTCCTCAGACCCAGTCAGCTAGTCTAGCCATTATTTTCCCTTTGTCCTTTACCAAAACAGAGAACTAAAAAAGTATGCCATAAACCCAAGAACAAAATACACAACCTAATGACTTTTTTTAACACAAGAAAAGTTATGTGGGACTTCCCTGGTGGTGCAGTGGTTAAGAATCCGCCTGCCAATGCAGGGGACACGGGTTCGAGCCCTGGTCCGGGAAGATCCCACATGCCGCGGAGCAACTAAGCCCGTGCGCCACAACTACTAAGCCTGCGTTATAGAGCCTGCGAGCCACACCTACTGAGCCCGTGCGCCACAGCTACTGAAGCCCGCAGGCCTAGAGCCCGAGCTTTGCAACAAGAAAAATCACCGCAATGAAGAAGCCTGCGCACCACAAAGAAGAGTAGCCCCCGCTCGCCGCAACCAGAGAAAGCCTGTGCAAAGCAACGAAGACCCAACACAGCCAAAAAAAAAAAAAAAAAAAAAGTTACCTGATCTGTGTGCATGTTAATTACTACCAGTAGGCATACTTTAGAACCTGCTATAAATAGCGACTGTCATAAAAGTTTAGCTGGTGAGTGGCACTTGATCAATAGCCTTGGGGTAAGGGATTTTCTTATCAAAAAAAGAATAAGAAAGGTTTATTAGTGTCTCACCTACTGATCTAAGAGAAAGATATTCTGCAGTAGTTTTAATATGATACTCTAGCATTTAAACTAATTGTCCTTGAGAGACAAAGTTGGAGGACTCAGACTTCCTGATTTCAAAACTCAAAGCTCCAGTAATCAAGACAGTCTGGATTGGCATAAGGATAACATACAGACATATAGACCAACGGAACAGAACTGAGAGTCCAGAAATAAAACCTTACATTTATGGTCAATTAATTTTTGACAAGGGTACCAAGACAATTCAGTAGTGGATAAAATAGTCTTTTTAATAAGGTACAGGGAGGACTTCCCTGGTGGTCCAGTGGTTAAGACTGAGCTTCCACTGCAGGGGGCACGGGTTCAATCCCTGGTCAGGGAACTAAGATCCCACATGCCGCAAGGGGTGGCCAAAAAAAGTAAGTTAAAAAAAGAAAAAAAATAAAGGTACAGGGACAACTGGATAGCCACAAGTAAAATAATTTAGACCTCCCAACTCAAATATATGCAAAAATAAACTCGAAATGGATCAAAGAGTTAAATGTAGGAGCAAAATCCATAAAACTCTCAAAAGAGAATATAGATGTAATTCTTCATGACCTTGGATTAGGCAATGGTTTCTTAGGTATGAAGCCGAAAGCACAATTGACCAAAAAGGAAAAAAAGAAAAGAAAAAAGATAAACTGGATTTCATACAAATTAAAAACATCTGCGGAATTCCCTGAAGGTCTAGTTGTTAGGAATCCAAGCTTTCACTGCCCAGGATGTGGGTTCCATTCCTGGTTGGGGAACTAAGATCCCACAAGTTGTGCAGCATGGCCAAAACAAAAACAAACAAACAAAAATATCTGTGCTTCAAAGGATACCTGCAAGAAAGTGGAAACACAACCCAGAGAATGGAAGAAAATATTTGTAAATCATATGCCTAAAACTTATACCCAGAATATATAAAGAATGCTTACAACTCAACAACAAAAGGACAAACCACTCGATTAAAAAATGGGCAAGCAATCTGAATAGACATGTCTCCAAAGAAAAAAATACAAATGGTCAATAAACATAATATCATTAGTAAAGAGGAAAATGAGAATTAAAACCTCAATGAGGGGCTTCCCTGGTGGCGCAGTGGTTAAGCATCCACCTGCCAATGCAGGGGACACGGGTTTCAGCCCTGGTCTGGGAAGATCCCACATGCGGCAGAGCAACTAAGCCCATGCGCCACAACTACTGAGCCTGCGCTCTAGAGCCCACGAGCCACAACTACTGAAACCGGCACACCTAGAGCCCGTGCTCCGCAACGGGAGAAGCCACCGCAATGAGAAGCCTGCACACGGCAATGAAGAGTGACCCCCGCTCGCCGCAACTAGAGAAAGCCTGTGCACAACGAAGACCCAACGCAGCCAAAAATAAATAAATAAAATAAATATATTTAAAACCACAATGAGATAGCACTTCATACCCTCCAAGATGGCTATAATCAAACAGAGAGTAGCAAATGTTGGCAAGGGTGTGAAAAAACTGAAACCCTCAAACCATGTTAGTGAGAAGGTAAGATGATGCAGTCCCTTTGGAAAAAAGTTTGACAGTTTCTCAAAAAGTTAAGCATAGGGTTACCATGTGATCCAGCAATTCTACTCCTATGTATATACCTAAAAGAACTGAAAACATACATCCACATAAAAAACCTGTATGTGATTGTTAATAGAAGCATGACTCATAATAGCCCAAAAGTGTTAACAACTGAAATGTCCATCATGAATGGATAAACAAAATATGGTATATCTAAAGAAATATTACTTGACAATAAAAAGAAGTACCGAAAATGTCCTAAGGTGGGCAAACTTTGAAAACATGCTAAGTGAAAGAAGCAAGACACAAAAGAACACATGACTCCATTTTTATGACTATCAAGAATAGGCAAATCTATAGAGTCAGAAAATAGATTAGTGGTTACCAGAGAATGGGGAGTGAACTGAGTTTCCTTTTGGGGTGATGCAAGTGTTCTTGATTTAGATATTGGTGACAGCTGCACAGCTTTGTGAATAAACTAAAGCCCACTGAATTGTATACTTTAAAATGAAAACTTTTATGGTATATGAATTATATCTCAACAATGATAAACAAGCATAGGAGACCTAAAAGTTTAACTTAAACACAAACAAAACAAAAACCTGAATGCTTTGAATTCAGTTTTATAACTCTGATCTTTTTTTCAACAATAATCATAATGATAACAACAGTAGGTACTTATTAGACTTGTAACAAGCATTTTATACTTAGTATTCTCTCTCAAATTATCTCAATGACCTTGTACATAGGGGTTATGATTCCATTTTATAGAAAGAAAGTTGAAGTTCAAAGAGCCTGAGTAATTTGCCCAAGGTCATATCGAGGTAATTAAGTCTGACTCCAGAGGTTCTTTTTTTTTAGAGATTTTTTTTTTTTTGGCTGCATTGCACAGCATGTGGGATCTTAGTTCCCCAACCAGGGATTGAACCCGTGCCCCCTGCAGTGGAAGCACGGAGTTCTAACCACTGGACTGCCAGGGAATTTCCTGGAGGTTCTATTACACCATTTTGTCTTCCTTAAAAGAGTGGCTTACTGGTCTCTAATACTAAGTTATTTTTCAATGTGTTATGTTGTTCTTTCTGTCTCCATCAACAAAACAGATATTGTTTCAGGACCCAGGATTAAACAATGATCTTTCTTCCTTAGTTTGCAGAGCACAGGGCAAAGACAGAAAAAAAGTCCCATATGACAAGTTTTTATTTGTATCAAATTACAGAGTACCATAAGTAAATATAAGATTATGACTTGAATATTGTAATATAGCTTATAATTTGGCAAATTATTTAATTATCCAAAGTTTATTACATGTTTGAGTACACACTGAAGAAATTACTTGGCATAACTTGGCAAGATAAATGTTTCTGTACCTTATTTAACCATTTATCATGTATATATGTGGTACATATATGAACATATGTGTGTATATATGTGTACACACACTTCTGAATTAAATATACTTGTATAAAAGCTAAAGATTTATATACTGATATTATCTTTAATTCCTTTAAAAAATCTATCATAAATTGTGTCTGCATTCAAAGCAGAAATGTAAAAAAATGATCACTTTACTAAGTACACATGAATTTACAAAGTAATAAAAATGAAACAAAATTTCTATTGAAATGTTATATTCCTGTTTAATTGACATTTACGTGGCACTATCAAACTATGGAAATAAACCTCCGATTTTAGGTTGTTGAGAGAATAAAGATTCCAGTGTGTACTACTGTACCCTCTAAATTAAGATGAACATTATTATAGTAGGAAACGGTAGCATTTAATTTTCTTCTTTATTAATATGGGAATTCTCAGGAAGCCATCAGGGCAGTGTCTGTACTCCTGGGCTGCGGTTTCCTGCTTTTTCATCAGTGGAAGTCTGGTTTCTCAGGAAAGGTGCAGCCAGTCCGCCTAATTATGACACTTGCTGCATAGTGGCCAGCACGGATGCATTCAGTCAGGGGCTTGTCAGAGACCAGCTGAGACAGAAAACCTGGAACACAGACAAAAGGGAAAAACATGAGTATTGTGTAACAGCATCAGAAATGTCATATGGGTCAGAATGAAAAATGGTCTACATACCTATGCCTTTTTTCAGTCTTGATAGTGAAGTGTCAAACCTCTAGGGTTAGAGAGTTCTTTCCTAATATTTCTTTTAAAGAAAGAGCTCTTTTAAAGAGCTCAAGTCGGGATGTGACAACTCACCACCAAGTCAACCTAGTCTTTCTAAGCCTAAACTATCATGCTTTCCTTGATAAGGAGACTTTAACTCTGAGATTAAAAGGTTATAAGTAAGAAATACTGGCCAAACAATATTATATTGGGTCTTTACAGCTGAGAAATTATTAGTTATGCCTCTGCCTATCTCTCTGGATTCCTTCTGTATTGATGTTATTCCTAGAAAATTGCTATTTGGAAAAAATATCTGGATATCTCTCCAAGAACGAATTTGAGAGTTGAAAAGTTATGAATGACCTTATATCTCTTTCACTCCCAGAAGTAACAGCGAAATAATTTCTATAGTCAAGCACCATGGACTGGCTTGACATTAAAATAAATATGGTAAGGTAGGAAACAGGCCTTCTGCTTCTGACCAACATGAAATAAAAGGAACCAGATTTACCCTTTTTCCGGAAACAACTTTTTTATTTATTTATTTTTTTGCGGTACGCGGGCCTCTCACTGTTGTGGCCTCTCCCGTTGCGGAGCACAGGCTCCGGATGCACAGGCTCAGCAGCCATGGCTCACGGGCCAAGCCGCTCCGCGGCATAAACCTGTGTCCCCTGCATCGGCAGGCAGACTCTCAACCACTGCGCCACCAGGGAAGCCCAGAAACAACTTTAAAATAAAAACAAAGCATATGCAACAAAGTTTTTCAAATATTGTACATCAGCCACAAAAGATCCATGAAAGAAGGGAAACAAATGAGGTAAACTGCAAAAGTTACCAGGCCACAACACATGGAAGGACAGCCTAGGCAGAGCCTGACAGTTTCACTGACTTGAGAAGATGGAATTGGGAGTCAAAGTAGGATAAAATTAAACATCTACACAGACTGATCAGGAAAAAAAGAGGGGAGATATAAATTGCCAATATTGGTAATAAGAGATATGACATCACTATAGCATCTACACACGCTAAAAGGATAATAAGGAAACATTAACAACTTTATGCCAATAGATCTGACCAATTAAATTGGACAAACTTCTGGAGAGACACAAACTATCACAGCTCACTCAGGAAGAAATAGATAACCTGAAGAGCCTTCTATCTATTAAATATTTGATTTTATAATTAAAAAGCATATTAAAAGCACATAAAGAAAATTCCAGGTTCAGATGGTGTCACTGGTTGAGTTCTACCAAATATTTAAGGAAGAAAAATAATGTCAATGCTATACAAACTATTCAGAAAACTGAAAAGGAGAGAATACTTCACAACTCATTATTTGAGGCCAGCATTACTGATACCAAAATCAGGAAAGATGCAAATATTTTACAAATCCAATCCAGTAGTATATTTTTAAAAAGATAATAAATCATAATCAGGCAGCATTTATCCCAGAAATACAAGGTTGATTTAACATTCAAAAACCAATCAATGTAATCTACCACATTAAGAAAACCATAAGATCATCTTCACAGATGCCGAAAAAGCATCTGGCAAAATCCAAGATCAGTTTCTAAAAAAAAACTCTCAGCAAACTAGGAATAGAAGGGAACTTCCTCAACCTCATAAAGGGTACTTGTGAAAAACTTGCATTTAATATCATTCTTAATGGTGGATGATGGAATGTTTTTCCCTTAGAATTGAGAACAAGGAAAGAATGTTTGTTCTTAAACATTGTACTGGAGACTCTAGCCAGTGCAATATGGCAAACAGAAGAAAGAAGAAAAAGCATCGAGACTGAAAATGAAGTAAAACTGTCTTCATTTGCAGATGGCATGACTGTCTATGTCTATGGTTCTCAACAATGCCAAATGTTCTCTGGGGGGCAAAATTGCCAATGTCTGGAGACGTTCTTGGTTGTCAAACCTGCAGCAGAGGGTGCTACTGGCAACTAGTGGGTAGAGCCCAGGGATGCTGTTAAATATCCTATGATGTCAATAATGCTGAGACTGAGAAATCCTGGTCTATGTAGAAAATCCTATGGAATCTAGAAAAAAGTTACTAGAACTACTAAGTGAGTTTAGTAAAACTGCAGGATACAAAATCACTATGCAAAAATCAATTGGATTTCTGTACTAGTAATGTGTATATATAGCAATTGCATATGCCAGCAAAATTGATATTAAAAATACTATTCACCATACCATCAAATATGTGAAATACCTAGGGCTAAATATGACAAAAGCTGTGTAAGACATTTATTTACACTGCAAATGACGAAACAGTGCTGAGAAAACAAAACAACAATGCTGAGAGAAATTTTAAAAAGCTAAGTAAATGAATAGATATAAAGTGTGCAGAGATCAGAAGATTCAATATTGTTATCAGCTCTACTGATTCAACGTAATATCAACCAAAATTCTAGCAGACTTTTCTAACAGAAACTGACAAGCTGATTCTACAATTTATGTGGAAATGCAAAGAACTTAGACTAATCAAAACACAACTTTGAAAAGAAGACTACTTGATTAAAAAACTTATTACAGAACTACAATAATTGAGACATTATGGCATAAAGATAGGCAAACCAATGCAACTGAATAGACGGTCCAGAAATAAACCTACTTCTATATGGTCAATTGATTTTTACAAAGGTATTAAGTAATTCAATGAAGAAAGGGTAATCTTTTAAACAAATGTTCTTAGAAGAGCTGGATGGCCATATGTGGAAAAAAAACAAAAACAAAAGCCCCCACTTCTACTCTTCCTCACATCAACCACAAAAATTAACTTGAAATGGAACATAGGTCTAAATGTAAGAGCTAAAACCATAAAACTCTGAGAAGAAAACTTAGGAGGAAATCTTAGTGATTTTGGACTTGCCAAAGATCTCTTAAGACATAAAAAGTATAAACTTTTTTTTTTTTTTTTTTTTTTTGTGGTGC